ATGGGATAAACGAACAAAAGAAATTGGGTGTAACCAACGAAAATGAATAGTCTAATTAATTTAATGTTTTGATAATAATTACATCAATAAAAAAAAGCAAAGTTCGAGAAACGAAAATTAGATTGCGATGCCTAAAAATGTCATTTTATTGTTGGTGTTTTTTCTTACAAAATTACAAATTAAAAAACTATAAAAAAACATAAAAACAAAAACAATCAAAATTCTCACAAAATTCTAAAGCCTCAATGGAGACTTCTTCTTAATCCAAGTTCCAATGCCTTCTTACATATAATGATAAACTCGTGTATACTCTTCTGCCATAGATGAGAGATGGAAAAGAAAAGGGGAGAGCGTACTAGTAATTTAAAGCTCGTACATGGAGATGGAGAACACATAAATGAAAAAAAACCAAAGATTGAATGATTTAAATATTGAAGTTGAAACGTTCCAAGAGAAATGGAAGAGTTTTTGAGTTAAATGTGAAAATTAATTGGWTTTAAATATTGAAGGTGAAACGTACCAAGAGAAAGGAAAGAGTTTTTGAGTTAAATGTAAACATTAATTTGTAAAATTACTAAGAAAAAAAAAGTCAAAATGTGGAAAAAAGAGAAAAATAGGATCTTTGAATCGAGGAGATGCCACGTCAACCTATCATGATTTTGCTTTATAGATATATATAGATATAGATAAAATAGACGGAATCAAACCATGTTTGATTTATTTTTTGTCTTAATTCGATTCAAATGGATTTTTGGTTATTCAAACTTAATTTGATAAACTACACATGGGACAAAATTTTGTTCTGCCTTGTCTTGAACTGTCTAACGAACCCAGAGAGAGCAAAAATGGTACAAACAGACCCCATGAAAACAAATTCAATAGACAAAATGTGAGAGTCAAGATTTTGCAGCAAAATTAACAAGCAGGATGGAAAACTGTGACAGTAACATTCAGGGATGATTTTTTTTTTTTGACAATGATTGAAAGTGAACGTTATAGGAATTCAATTGTTGCAAGACTATGCTTCCATTATACAAAAATGTTGCTAAAATCTTTCATCAAACAAATGAAAAAGACTTCACCCAAGTACCATTCTTGTGAATCAAAATGCCATCTCTTGTATTTTTAGGTACGGTCCTCCCTTATCGCGGCACACTCAGACCCATTTCTGGAAACGAAAGAGTTGAAACAAACTGCATCAGTAAAGATAGAAACATGCGCATTTGAGACTCGATAAATAGTAGATCAACAAAAGTATACCAAAGGCATGCTTAGCCAAAAAAGATTTAGAGATCATACAAATGTCTTGTCTAGACCTTTCAGTATGGCAAACTGAAATTTAGAGAGTTATGTCATGATAGGTGGACACTGGCAAATTATCCATCCTCTCCGCCCTAACTTTTTTTCATGGGTATCCCAACTTTGCATATGATAGAACGCCAAAGAAAGTGATCTCGTGGGCTTCTGAAAAGAATTTTTTTTATGATTCCCGTTAATGTTACTAATGATACGAATCATCACCCATCATCACGTGTGAGCATGTGATGGTGAGAAGGATGCTTTTCCTATTGCTACAAGATTACAGCATGTAGCCTTGATGCTTCTGAAATATTCAACCATTGCTGTTGAAGACGAGGGATCTTAGGATCGTGTAAGAATAGAAGTTAAGATGAGAAGTGTAGGAAAGGATTTGGACCCTTGATCACTTTTAATCCCAAAACAACCCATGAATTGCGCTTTAGAAGGGAATTGTTCCAGTGTATCTCATTAATGTCGATCTAGTGGTTATCTGCAATTAGGATTGATCCAAGGGTGGAGATCCCTTCATACCCTTCTCACTATAACTTCCATTCTCACCGGAACCCAACCCTACTGTTGAAAATGTAAGTGCAGTCAAGACAGAAAGATGTACTCCGTACCACCTCTTTTACATGCATGTTTTCATATTCCAAATCTTTATCCTAAGGCATTAGACTAAAAATAACCGAGAACAAAGGTATAAACAATCTATTACAGGAAAACAAAAAAGAGAAATCTAACCGGACAAACTGCTTTACATCCATAAGTAATTATTAAAGACTGAAGATCATGCCATACCACAGATTTGCATCATACAACGTGCACAATCGTGCAAAAACCAAACAAGTCAAGAAAATTCTAAAATGCTTTCCACAAAAATTACAAATCTAATACTTGGAATAAGTTATTGGTGAACAGCCAACCTGTATGAAAGGCCTTGCACGTAATCATTGCTTATGGTTAACTCATAATAAAAACCATCACTTCTTTTATAAACAGGTCGAAGCATAATAACCTTTAGTGAAACATTTTCACTTATAATTAACAATCTACTGCTTTCACTGTGATCTATTGTAATCCACTGTGGATTTGATTTAACCTAAAGGCATGATTAGTGTAGAACATAGTTTAAGGCCAGAATGTATTTTTCATGGTGAAAGAAGATGAACATAAACTAATCTACTGCTTTTACTGTGATCGATCGTAATCTCTCTCATTACTTCATCTATTACTATTTCCAGCATATGATTCATATTCAATTTAGCCACACCCTGGTTATACGTGGTATATGTGCACAGTTAATATATATGTGTATGTATATGTATAAATTTATATGCAAAAACGGATAATTAACATGGCAACAAATGAAACCTTTATTTGACAGAATGATGGAGATATTGACACTGCTGGTATAACTTGCAAGAATGCCATTTTCCCATTCCAAAAGAAGCCAAATAACAAAGACATACATATGTTAAAGAAAGCATCTGCATATTGGTTATACATCTTCTATAATTGGCAAAAGGGTAATTCTGGAATGAACTTTGCCATAGAAGAAAAGATTGCATTCATCAGGGACAACCCAAAAAAATATTGTTGCATTTGTTTTGTCAAGGAGATAATACTATATTACTAGTCGGTCATCATCCCCACAACCATGCCACCATTATTTTTTTACCATCAAGTTTTTGCGAAAATGGACTTCCAGGATTCAGTTTTTGAAATGTACCTTTGAAGAAGTATCAATATGTATAAATCCAATAGACAAAATTCAAATAACAACCACTGAAGATCAAATATATTTTAAGTGCTTCAACTTTAACTACTACAAACCAAAACTGGATTTGGGGTAAAACCATTATGTGTTGGAAATGAGACTATTGCTTATTCCAGTTCTCAAAAGGGACTTCTGTCACTAATATGATCATGTTCCTGGTTAAGACAAACAACCCACTGGATAAACTCACTCAATTTAATCCTAATATAACAATTTCAATCCAAAGAAATATCAATAATCCTGCAAGATAATCTCACTCAATTTAGTCTCAAATCCTAAAAGATATATGAATGATCACATTCCATCCAATTCCAATCCATCAAACAACAAGTCTGATCATGAAAGCTTGAGTGAAATAAAACAAAGTAGTATGCTTACAGATAAATATAACAGAGAAAATGTCAAACTCCCGGGTTTGCACTGGAGAGCATACCCTGAGACAAAGACCTTGATCCCTTCGAGTCTATCCCGAGGCACGAGGTCAATCGTGCCGATGAAACAGCTGTGTGTAGGGGCAACAGAGATTGCACACAACCAATTCGAGAAAATGATCTGCAACAATAACAAATCTTGTTTTTCAAACTTATTCACTGCGACTTGAAAGAAAAATCAAACAAAAAAAACCCTAAATATGGAACTGGAAAAGAAATGATGTGTAGATATACCTCGAGACAGTTGTTGTTGAAGAGGAACGAGGAGCGAGAGATGGAATCGAAGTGGGTTTCGGAGAAGGAGTAGACATAGACTTGAAGAGTATAGAAGCTGGTCTTGAAATTGAGCGATATCGAGACGCCATTGCTGTGGAAGGAAGCACCGTTAGGGTTACGAATGGAGTAAAAGGTTTTAGCGGGCTTTGCCTTAGCATATGCCAACAACACTACAAGTGATCCCTTTCTATTTAATCAAAGGGATAGTTTACTGAACGCTTTAAGCAGATTATTAAAAGTTTATTCAAGTAACTATTTAGCAAGTCATATTATTTTATCGAATGATATATTGAAATGATCAAAAATCTTATTCGGTAAAAACTAGACAAACACCACAAGTTTTAACCGGTAAGTGAACCGGTAAGTGAAGACGACGACTCCTACCATGTTAAACACTTATTAGGTAAATTGTTGTATACAATATTGTTTTTATGTACTAAAGTCTTATCCGGTAAATAAGTAGTACCGTTAAATTATATCGATAAACATTTAGTAAAGGATAAGTGTCGGTAAACGTCCCCTTTAGCTTGATCGGGCTTTTAAACCTGGGCTGGGCCGAACTTTGGGTTCATTAAACTTGTACAAATTTCAAATTTTCTATTTAAAAAAAGTGAATATTTTATTTTTTTATTCGTTAGTTAAAGTTGGAAGTAGACTTGCCTTGGTTAACAACCTGAAATCCATTTTGAGGGAAAACCCATGCATCTGAAGTAGACTTGCCTTGATCAACAACCTGAAATCCATTTTCATGGAAAATCCACCTTACAATCAATTATATACATTCTTTCGTACATCCTATTCACCAATTAATACCAAAAATGCAACCCTTACCGGAACGTTTCACCGAACGCCTCATCCGATCACTTGAGCACCGCATTCGTCTCCTCCACCGTTCCAACTCCCACTTCTTCATCCTCGGTGCCACCGGGAACGTCTACACCGTCACTCTCTCCGCCGCCCCCTCCTGCAACTGCCCTGACCCCACCACCCCTTGCAAACACATTCTCTTTCTCTACATTCGCGTTCTCTCTCTCTCCCCTGACGACCCTTGTCTTCGGACTCGCACCCTCCGTCCTTGTCAACTCACCCGCCTCCTCTCCGCCCCCGTCTCATCTGAAACAGTCGCCGGTGCAGCCATACGACAACGTTTTCATGAATTATACCTCCGTCGCATTGCTACCACGCCACCGGTAATTACGGTGGAAGATAATTCCACGTGTCCGATTTGTCTGGAGGAGATGGGGGTGGGTGGTCGGAGACTAGTGGCGTGTGCCACGTGTAAGAATCCTATTCATGAAGAATGTTTGATGGCTTGGAAGAATAGGAGATCAAGAACTTGCGTGATTTGCAGGGCAAGGTGGAGAAACATAGACGAAGAAGATAGGTATATTAACCTCTCGGCTTATGTTAGTGAAGACGATGAAGTGGCTCATAATAGTACGGGACAAGATTATTGTGGGGTTAATCTTAATCAACAATGATTAGTTCCAAATTAATAAAAGAAAAGTAAATTATGTTTTAGTCCATGTAGTTTATTGAAAATTATTGTTTTCGTCTATGTATTTTCAAATTTACGATTTCAGTTTTTCTAGCTTACAACTTGATGTTTTTTCGTCTTTATAGTTCCTCATGCTTAATAGTAAACTATCGACGGTGTTAGTCTTAGAGACAAAAACTGTAATGAACAATGAACGACAAGAACAAAACCCTAATTTGTAAGAACAAAAAGGAAGTCACAGTTTTTAACAAACCAGATAGACTAAAATTGTAGTTTGCTCTAATAAATATGTTCTTAATTCTTTTTGTTTTTTTCCTTTTGTAAATTTTAGAATTTATAGATGGTTAAATCGATTTGTAAATATCATTTAAAATGTGATGATAATTGATTCAGGTGATTATGATTACGAAATTTGTTATTAAATTATTGAAATTTGTTTATATAATTTATATGTTATCATAGTGCATCTTAATAATTTGATCACCTCTTTCATGCTCAATTTATTTTCGGTTCAAATATATGTGTTCGGTCGGTATCTATAAATGATATTATGTACACGTTTATTAATGATACATGATGCACATGTTTTAGAAAGTAACATTTTTGGCCATTTGTGAAACCAATGTCCCAAAAAGATCGTATCATAAGATGTAGTTGTCAAATTGGGATTGTCGAATTTTAGATGATCTGTACAATTAATAATTCAATTTTTTTTATTAAAACTAGTTGTGTACCCGCGCAATGCGGCGGGAGCCATGAATTTTAACGATTTTGAAGTTCCATTGGTTTTATAAGATAAGATTTAACGATGATATAAGTCACACTTGGTCTTTACATATTAATACAATTTGAATAAATAAGAGTTATGGTTCCAATTACAGACTATCGATGAAAAAAAATTGTATGACAGTTTAAAATCCAATATATTTAAAATTCAACATATTTAAACGACTCCACAAATGTGTTCGATTTACACCAAGAGCAAAGAACCAAGAAACTTGAGTTTTAAGATAAACACTCAAAACCAATAAAGAAAACTACAAATTTGACATATCATAAGCCATGAAAAGACCAAAAAAGATGGGTTTTAAAATGAAATTTTAACTGCTTACTCTATTTCTTGTCCAGAAACTCATATTAAGGTTGAATTAATACATGTATATATATATTTCAAAAAAACCCAAGAATATATTAATTCAGAACATAGTATACAGTGCAATTTGGACAGCCTAACCCCAAAATATATAGTATATATATAAATAAATAACTATAAAAGTATAAATCGTAAATATTAAAAATATTTTTTTACRGTATATATAATATATAATAATATAATTAAGTAAAAAACTATTCAATATTGGACTTATTTCGAAGGTATTAACGAGACGATTATAATGGTTTAACTTGTTAAAATAAAAATGTATTTTTTAAACATGTTTTAATTGATATACAATTATTTATGTTAATTTGATAAAGGTTTAAAATGAAACATTTAAAAGTAAAGAACGTAAAGTAAATTAATTAAATAATACATGGGTATAAAGTATAAATTTAAAACTATAATTTTAAAAAAATCGTTTGAATGTGAGAGGGTGAGTGTATGTGAAGGGGGAGAGGAGGGGGTGAAAAAGTTAGATAGTATAGATAAGGGTATCTTGGTCATTTAGTATTTTAAGACTTTAAGAATTTTGCTAAATTTGCTTTATAAGATAGTATAGATTAAGTGTCAAAGCATGTGTTATTTCTTCTACTGAAAAATTATATATGTTTTTATACATCCTAAAATTTATGAATTAAATTGGTGAAGTGGTTGAAACTTAAAACAGATGCAAATTATACATGCTGCTCTTTGAATGGCTGGATCTCAACAAACTTCATAGATGTTATTGACACACTTTTAACACAAACAATTGATGGCTATATTGTTTTTTTTTTTTTTTTTTTTTTTGTAATTTATTAATACACAGTGGAGTTAATCAATCAAAACTATTTTGGCCTTCTGTAAATTACAATATTTTAGATTTTTTAAATATATATTATTTATGGTATGATATAAATTAAAATATAATCTCTAAACCCTATGCATCAATTTTGACTTTAGTTTATGTTGCCAATTTTGACTTTTTATCTCCAACTCTTAAACACATTTTGTCCATTAGTATATGAGTTTGTAACAAAAATGATGTGTAATCATTTGTTTACGCCGACTTTGATTATAATTTTTAATTCACGTATATAACTTTTAAAATAATATATTATTATTTTAAAAAAAATTATTTAAATCTTTAAAATTAAAAGTGAAACAGAACAATACATTGAAATAAGTTTTTATTTTATAAATCTGTATAGTTCTGAAATATTAAAAAAAAAAAATTGTTAGTTATCAAATTTTTGAAGAAAAAAATATCGTATTAATAGAATTTAATGCTTATTTTTTATATTTAAACATGTTTTATCAGTTGATTATGAATTACTTATATAAAGTTAAGTTGTATTAATGATTTGTAAAAAAAATACTTGCATATTAATAAAAATCAAAATTGTTTTATATGGTTTAAATTTAAATAATGTTATGATTGTTATTATCTGTCAAAAAAATATGTATTCAGACAAGAGAACTATATACTCATGAATTCTTATTTAATACCCAAAAGAGATGATACGTGTTGAAAGTTGTTTTGTGATTCATGATAAGTGAGACAATTAATTAATTGCTTAATTGAATTGTTAATTGATACTAAAAAAGCGATGTGAGATTTATAGTAAATGGGATAAATTTATTTTTGATACTTTTCATTTTTTTAATCTTTTAGTTTAATATAAATTTATCATTACAGTTTACGATTTTATGTGGTTTTGATCCCTTTCACTAACGTATGTTAAAGAAATCGGTTAAGTTTAGAGTAATTTGGTCTTTTTTTACCTTTTTAAAATTATTTTTCAGTTTAAAATATAATTAACACTTTTTCGGTCCATATGCTTTTCTTTTTTTCCTTTTCCCACCCTCATCCTCTCCGATGATGAGTAGATGACCACATCTGCCCAGCCTCACGTCCTTCCCCTCCGGTCATCTTTTCTAACAAACAAACTCAAATCTAAAATAACTCGGAATTAATTTCATTACAAAACAAACTAATATACTACATGCATATGTATGCATATTAAAGTAAAATAAGATAAAAGACTAAATTACCCATTGAAGTAACAAAAAATTTAGCATTCATTAGTGAAAGGGACCAAAACCAAACACAAATACAAATTACGATGGCAAATATGTACTAAATGAACTCTAGGAACCGAAACTAAAAAATCAAAAAGCACAAGCACACAAAAAATAAGTTTACTTTAGTAAACGTGTTATATGTGCATCTGTTTGTATACAATCAGATTAAATTATACATTAAAAAGGTAGAAACGAGTTTTGATGTTAATGTAGTATGACTGCAAATGTGTTTAAGCTTGAGCTTGATTCGACGTATTAGACGAAGCTCGAACTTGATTTGATAGCTCAATGATTTTTTTTTTTTGTGCATGCTTGATTTTGACTTGAGAAATATTTGAGTTTAATTCGGTATCTCAAATAGTTTGAAAATATTCTTTAGATAAATGTTGGAAAAACAAGTCCGATCCCATTTCCGAGGGTTCTTGAGTTGATATTGTGACCAATTTCCGAGATTTAAGAGCTTGATTAGTTCATAAATAAATATTATAACTACGTTCGATTCAAGCTCAGCTAAAAAATGTGCACCAATTTTTGATGACAAATATATACGTACGGCTTGAGCGAGTTCTTATAAACTCAACAAATCAACTCATACGTGTCGAGCTCATATTTGTGCTCCAATTCGTCACGATTTGGCTCGATCAAGCTTTAATGAATATGAATCATTTGCAACCATAATGATAACTATTTGACTTTGGGTTTTTATTGAGTGACGTATAAATTAAGTAATGGTACTTTTATGTTATTAATAATTTGGTCATTGAACTTTCAAAGTCTATGTAAAAATTATTAAAAACTCAAAAATTGATGTTTACTCTAAACGTTACTTGGTCGATAACGAGTTGTTGAAACATTACGTTAGTTTTTTTTGTGTTTATTTACAAACAGTGAGAAATTAAACTTTGTGAAAAATAACGTGTAGGAATAAAGATTGATTGAGTTTATATGTTAACATAGTACATCGAAAAACAGAATTTCATTTTCTTCTTCTTAAGACGTACTTTTAGCTTTGGTGCTGCTATCTTTTTCTTTCCAAGGGACGGGGTTGGGGTGCCACAAATGGAGCTCTTATTGTTCTAGACAAGTCACCAACTTATTTGACCTTTTGGTAATGGGTAGGCGTCAGGCCTCATACATGGTCTTACGACTTTGCGGTCTCTTTATGTTATACATATCTGTTTGGGGTTGAGGCATCAGTCGTCTCGGTTCTAATCCATGAACCAACAAAGAGAAAAATTTACCCGTTAGTTGTATTGTTCGATCAAACAAATCATTCGAGCATCTTCAACAGATTCTCTAAAATAGTGATTTTTGGGATTTTTGTTTCAACAAATTTGTAAAGTCTTTTTTTAAATTGAGAAAGAATGAGAGAGACGGTGAAATTTTCTAATTTGGAGAACTCTTCAAAAAATGATTGTTATTTATTTATTTATTATTTCTACTAATGAAAATATTTGAAATTAAATGTTTCTAACAGAAAAATAATATTTTAAAAAATTATATTGAATATTTTGATAATACAATTAACACTGTAACCTCTAACATGAGAAGCTGTCGGAAATGGATTTAAAGAATTATACAGAAAAATAAGAGATTTTAAATAATTAGTTTGATACTAATATTAATTTTTTGTTTATGATATATTTATATTTATATTTTATTTAAAAATAAAAACATTATCGTTTCTCAAAACCACATAAAACCGTATTGTAACATCGACTGAACATTAAAATCGAGATGTATCTCACTGTATTATGCGAGTATCCTTCTAGTATTATATAAAAATAAGGCGAAGGATCATGTAGAATGAGAATTAAGGTGAGAAAACCTATTATATTATATAAAAATAAGGCGAAGGATCGTGTGAGAAAAAAAGTTAAGGTGAGAAACGTAAGAAAAAATTTAAACTCTTGATCACGTTTAATCTCACACCCACCATAAATCACGTTTTTGATACGAGAATTGATCAAATACATCGCAATACATACGATTCTAATGTCCATCCAAAGATGAATATCACTTTTGAAGTTATCACCGGAACCCAACCCATAAAAATAAACAGCTACTTTTTTGTCATTCCCAAATTATTCATATTCAGGGCCGTTTCTTAACATGTTAAATGTGAGATTTTGATCAGGGCCTCTGAAATTTTGGGGCCCAAAATTACATGTGTTTAGTGTCTTTTTATCGACCTGTATAAAATTATAGCCAAAATTATTTAGGTTCAAACCACTAATAGTTTGGTTTTAGGTTCAAATCATTATTAGGTTTAGTTTTAGATTATTATTCGTTTTAGGTTTAGCTCATTTTTGTTCTTAACATATATATTCTTTTTTATCTCGTTTATACAATATAATAAAAAAAAAATTAAATGTAACCTGACCTAAAAAAAATTGAAACGTCCCTGTTCATATTAATAAAAGTCGTTGATGAATACTATAAATACGTGAATTAAAACACTGTATGGGCATACGCAAAGAAGTGGAAGTTGGAGCCTGGAGGTGTGATTTTATGAGTGGCTTTTCTTGTTCCCTTAACAGAGAAGCGTGCTCCAGCCGGAGATCATGATAGAAGCCGGCACATATGTTGATTCCGGTAGTATATCTCGGAAACTAATTGCTATTACTGCAGGAGATGCTCACACACTCGTTCTCACCGGTAATCATATCTCATCTACAAGCTGTTATCTATCTATTTACTCTGTAATACACAAATTCTCAGCTAATGTGTTTTGGACCTGGATTTTATTTCGATGTTTGATATTGCGTGTGAAGGTGATGGGAGTGTATATTCATGGGGAAGAGGAACCTTTGGCCGGCTCGGTACTGGTTCCGAGCTCGATCAGCTTTTTCCTGCTAAAATCGAATTTAATTCAACGGATAGGAGAGACAGGGTTAAAATCGTCGGAGTGTCAGCCGGTGCTTATCATAGTCTTGCTCTCTCCGGTAAATTTCACGTTCTTTACTTTTGCCGTATCTAAGAACCCCAAAAATAAGCAGCACGTTGTTTTCAAATCCAATTATGGCCATTCATAAGTTAGAAATATTGTGAATTAGAAGGAAATGATATCAGACATATGTACGTATAATCCTGTTGTATCAGATAATTGAGATCGAAATGATATAATTTCAACACAGAATTGTCAAAATTGGCAATACAAATACGATTGATTAGAGTCTGGTCACTGGCCTACCTTTTTCTTTCTCTAATCTTCCAATTTTGTTTCAGATGATGGTTCAGTTTGGAGCTGGGGTTCCAATACTTGTATCCTTTGTGTGATGATACTTACATGTTTATATATAAAACTATGCTTCATGTTTATGAAGAATTAGCTTTAGTGGATTGTGTGAACATAAGATTTTCGAAAAGCATAACACAAGTCATTTCCTTAAGCATGTATGATATTGCTGAGGTTGCCATGAGGATTACAACATTTCCCAAAGGCCAAAACTAAGGCTTCTGTAGTATAAATACATATTTTGCATCCTTGACATCAACATAGATGGTCAACTCGGGGTGAACGTAGAGAATTCCTTGGTTCCATCTTTGGTAGAGGTGTTCCAAGGTCTAAGCACTCCCAGTTCCATGGCTGATGGATCTATAACCAAGAGTGAAACAGGACTCAAGGTGTGGAACTCAAACTATCTTCTTCGTTATAAAATCCACTTGCTATCTTTTCATATCTTCTGAATACTTATGCCGGTAATTAACTTCCCCTTCCAGATTTCTTCTGTAAAAGCTGGAGGTATGATATCTCTTGCAATAGATGATATCGGGTCTCTTTGGATGTGGGGAAACTGTCCATCACAAGATAGCCCGACCGAAGGGGAATTCTCATTTGTCACCACTTCTACTCCAATACCCGTTTGGGATTTCCATGGCCACACTGTGGTTAAAGTGGCATGTGGAAATGAGCACATTGTAGCATTAGTTAGTGCTGGAGAAACACATAAAAGTGGTGCTGATCTTGTATGCTATACTTGGGGCAACAACAACCATGGACAACTAGGCCTAGGAGACACAGAGATTCGAACGAGTCCTCAAATGGTTGAAACATTCAGCACAGAATCTCCTTGGGCAGCGTATGAAATAGCATGTGGAGCATTCCACACTTCTTTACTCGCGTATAAAAAGGGAGACGGTGACATATTAAAAAGTGTATGCTGGACTTTTGGGCTTGGGGAAAATGGACAGCTAGGTCGGGGAACCACCAAAAAGGCATTACTCCCTGAAATGATTACAACTTTACCTGTAAACGTGTGGTTAATCTCTGTCGATTGTGGATTATTTCACACTAGTGTAGTTTCATCGGTTGGGGATGTTTGGTCATGGGGAATGGAAAACGGGCTAGGCCTTTGTCCTGAAGGAACTTCTATAGAAGGTCATAGTGGAGATGCTCTTACTCCTCGAGTGATCCCATTTGATGGTCAAAACTTTCAAGAACCTGTACAAGTCGCTTGTGGTGCGGCCCATACCGTTCTTCTTGCAGACAGCGGATATAAGCTTTGGTCATGGGGAAGAGGAAGAAGTGGGGTTCTTGGAAATGGCCAACTAAATGATTCTTTTGCCCCAAATCTTGTGTTGTGGCCTCCCCTAGAAGAAGATTTCAAAGAAAAGAGATCAGAAACAGAAACCATTGGCACTAAGAGCAGTGACAAAATAGATGCCAAAAGGGATTCAAAAGAGATGGAGAAGGAACTAATTGCAGCAATGGAAGAGATGAACCTCCTTCGTTTGAAACTATCCGAAATGGAGCGTTATGCCAGCATCCTTCATGGTTCAATTTTTGGGAAGCCATTTGAAGAAGATAAAGATATAACAGTGTCTTTAAAGAAGTCTGCAGGTTCATTTGATATTGGAAAAGAATGGGAGAAGATGTTAGATTGTTGTGATGATGGTGAGCTTTTACGTCTGGAAATGTTTCACCGTAACATGATTGCAGGCGTTAAAGATAAGATAATGAAGCGAAGGATTAAAGAGATGATCAAGGAGTGTCTTCAATCTTCAACAAGGAGTGATACCATGATATGAATATTTTGAAGGTTAGCATGTGTTTGATGTTGTAAAGTTTGTAGATATGAGGGGTGTAAAAATATGCAGTTTGAATGTATGCAGTATGTGCAAACTATGAGTTGATAAAAGTGTGAAGTTTGGTTGGTGTGTTTTTTTCCTAAAAAAATTATATAGATGACAAAAATCATGCATTTAAACATGATCATATTCCATGGGAGGCTGTTCTAAGGTTCAGGATAAAATTTTTTAATGTAAGATTCCCATGTTTCTTCTCTGTCTCATCAATGGAATTAAGACACACTAGATTTTTATTTATTTTAAAATTATTTAATTCATGTTCACGTTCTCTCTTAACACGGCTGTACATTTGGTGGGTCGGGCAGGTTCGAATGGACAAACTAAAAATCCTACTGGATTTCATACAGGAAACCAAGGCATGAATTTTGGGTTTCAGATTGCTACATGTTTGGATTGGTCGAGTTTTAGGTTATGGTCAATCAGTTTTATGGAAAACATATATATTAAATTGATTTTGAGGATGAATTTAATTGATTGAGAAAATTGATTAAATCGATAGTATGTTTATAAATTAGAAAAGAGTATTTACCTACTGGAATTTAGGATTTTCAGATGATAATTAGATAAGGAAATATATTTATATAATATCTTAAAACTATATACATATGTATTCGGGCTTTCGGACGGGTCAAGTGGAAAAATTCAAACCAACCCGATTCTTTAAAAATCGGATTTCGGATTTTGAGTCAGTCGAATTTGCAGAAACACTTTATTTGGTTTTAGTATGGTTCGGGCTTTGCAGGCACTACTCTAAGATTAAGACGTAGAAATTTGGGAGAGGTTTATACTGCCAACGAGCCAAGTGGCCAACTCTGAAACATAGCTTTGTGAAATTTATGGGCCTGGTAATCATCAGATTAGATTAGACTTAGAGTATGAGCCATTGGAGTTTGGGTTTTAGAAGTGGGCTTTTCAATAAGAATGTGGCATGGCCTCGCTGGGCTGGGCTGGCTCTGCTAAGTGCTAACTAAATCCTAAAATTAGAGAGTTTGACTTAAGTCAAACAAGATATTGGTTTCTAATAGAATTCTCTAGCTTGAACACGAAATGGTAACATACAAAGTCCTCATACCATGCAAATATGATGATTCAAAAACCAATTACTCATCCAACACAAATAAAAAAGATGTAAAGTTAGAAGATAATACCCAAATTTAAGTGAAAACTCAAATCGAGAGAAAACCATAGACGGAGGAGATATCCACCGGTGAAGTAATACGGTTACAATGCTTCTAAATAAAGAGAAAATCTACAATGGCGAGAGTGTGTTTATGGAGATAAATATAATAATAGCATGACTGTGAAAACGTATTCATCTATCGACGATCTATCTTGGCAAAATTCTCTGTTTTAAGGATACATTCAAAAGAAAGAAAATCGAGATTGCAATCTAAATTGGTGAAGATGTTGTTGTAAAAGACGAGTCTCTCAAGCAAATTATCCTATAATTTGTGGGTATTGCTTTCTAGAAGATCGGTCGAAAAAGAGTGGGAATCCTAAATATTAGAAACTCGACTTATAATGGCTTTAATAACATGTACACTATTTTTCTAATAATGAAAAGGGAAAAAGATCAAAATACCCCTGCTTAGCAACTAAAGACCTTAACAACCATGGACCAAAACCGCAATGAAAATCAAAGTCGACGACTATACTTGTAATTTCCAAAAAGTAGGAACAAAAACCGAAGTTTTCACAAAGATCAGGGATTATTTTTGTAACTATTCTTTTAAAAAGTTTTATTTATTTGACGAAATAAAAATTTGTGGGAGGATCCTTTTGGTCCATATTTTAACCTGTGCGGTTGTTTAAACCCTTCAAAGCCCTAAAACACAAACAGATCTCCGGCGACATGCCCGGTCTTCTTACAGTCTACCATCCTTCCGGCCATGACGAATCTTCCGCCCTCGTTCAGTTTTCTTCCGACTCCAACACTCCTATAGTCTATTCTCTCCACCACGGCCTTAAATCTCCAATTGCACCTCGTCTATCCATCTCTTGGTCTCGTGGTAACTCCCTACGCGTCTCGGTTTTCCGTTCACCTGAGACAACTGAAACCGTTCTTGATGAAGTTGAAGTTGGAGGGAAAGTGGTGGAGTTGAAGCTAAGTGGTGAATATGTAGATAGTGAAATCAACGATGCTGCGCGGTGGCGTAGAATAGCATATGGATCAGTGTCTCCATTTGCGCATCTTCAGAATAAGAAAAACGCCATGGCAGCATTGTCGGAGTTGCGGCATTCAGCTCCTTACGACGTGGATTGGTAATTATACTGCACATGTTAAATTTAGATTAGTGTATGTGTCCATGAGCTAATAATCATGTTTATATTGGCGTTAACCTTTCACATTTTAGAATTATGAAGAGGTTCGAAAATTGACAAAGACATTCTTCTTTTTGGTCTTAAATCGATTACTGGAGAGTGATGCCCTGTAAATCTTATGCAGGAAGTTGTGGTAACTTAGTAATCCTTAGTAATTGAAGATAATTCTACAATCAGAACAAGGGAAGTAAAAATTCAAGCTTTGAGAATTTCTTGAGTCTCTTCTAAAATGAAAGGCAAGTTCTTGATTTTTCAACATCCTTATTCAGGGAAGGGCAGCTAAGTCCCGTGAATCACTGACTGTTCAGCAGTCGAGTTAAAAATCATGTAGAATGTTAAAAGGCATTACAAACCAGATGAGTGTTTTTTGTTAGTATGTCTTATAGTGAATGCTAACTGGCATTACAAACTAGATCAATCCAGTTTGGCTTATATGGCTTTTAGAATATCGTGCATATATGTGTTTGAGATCTGCTAGATGTTTCTCTTGTACTGCTGTACATGTGTGTTTGTGAGTGACTGAAAGGGGGATGGCATGCCTTTTCTCATAAGAAACAAACGCCTTAATCTCTACACACCAATGTAGCAATGTGTATTGAAGAGTTGCTTTTTGATTACTCATGTGATTCAAAAAAATAAAAAAAATATAATAATTGAAAAAACCAGTGTTGTGCTGCAAGAGGTTAGAAGGCATAAACAAATTCTTGAACTTAAGCAGGTAGGCCTAGCCCATTGTATGACCTCCTTTATTTTTGCTGCCTCCACCTGCGAGCAGTCAGCGCACATGTATGTGTTTGAGAGTGGTTGTACTTGTGCATTATTATCTAATAAATTTTAAAGGAAAATTGCACCAAAATGGAACCAACTTTGCCTTTGTTCATATTTTGAGGAACCAACTTTCAAAACTTTTCAGTTTGGGAAACCAACTTTTAAAACTTCTCATTGTGGGGAACCAAACTTTTCTTGCGTTCCTATTTTGGGGAATGAATCTGGCCACCAGGTCCCTTGAAGCTGAAGTTTTGAAACTTGGTTCCTCAAAATGGACGTTTTGAAAGTTGGGTCCTCTAAATAGGAATGCAAGCGAAATTGGTTCCATTTTGGTGCAATATGTTCAATTTTTAAGGGAATTTTAAGTAAGCCAAACTAGTTATTTCTTCCCTTTGCTTTTGGTTGGTATTTCCATTAACAGGGACTCTCATCAACCACCAGAAGATTCAAACAACTTAGATGAAGATTCTTGGTCCTTACCAGTAAAATAAAGGATGCTTATGTTTTCTGTTCTTTGTTTCTTGTAACACCACTTAATTGGACGTCTTCTGTTATAACATCAGCAACCTACGTACTAAATATTACGTCAATGTCTTGCTCTCAAATTAATTCTCCTCTTGATTACCTAATTCATGATCCTCGAAAGAATCAATGGTTCATCTATATTCTGTCCCAACCATGCTGGTATTCACCATACCTGTTGCACATGCATCTTTCTTGCTTGTAATAAAAAATAGCCTTGGTGCACAAAGGCTCCTCAAAATTGCAAGGAATTGTGAGGGAAGTCTTCACTCTCAGCCTTCTCCCTTTGGATTTTGCAAAGAGGTTGTCTGAGTGAACTGACCTTGTTACCTCCCAGTCCTAGTAATACTAAATTCTTATATAATACTGCCACAATTACTTGAATTTTGTTAGTGCTAACTCTGGAATAGTCTAAGGAAATACACAACTTCACATTAACCTTCACTTTTTTTAATAATTGTGGGTGTCCGCGCCAGCTTCCACGCACCTCGGCTAATCCCATGAGACCTTGAAGTTAACAGCCGCACAAACCTCCATTGGGCCTGACAGGACTCAACCTGGTGACCAGTGGGAGTAAACTCAAAGCCTAACCAGTTGAGCTACCCCCAAGGCCTTCATTTTAAATGTACTTTTGATCCCCAATGCCAAATTTTATGCATAAGAACAAAATTCTGGAACTCAGTGCAATCAGCTTTCTGAATCTGTTATGCTGTAACACAGTTATATTCCCTTGTCTCTTATCTGGTTTATAGATAACAGCTTTTGCCTTTCTAATATTTCACCTGGTGAAGTTGAAATCAAACATGAGACTACAATACAAAAGAGATTTATGCCATGTGAGAAATTTAACCAGTTGGATCATTAGGTTTGAGAAGACTTGCTTTAGTTTGAGTCTGAGAGTGTATAATGTTACACAGAACATACTCTTTCAATCCAATCTTAATTCTTAAATGCAGAATATAAAATCGTATTTTCTTCTTTTTCTTTCTCATCTTTTTATATATCATATTGATCAACATTCTGATGACCTTCGAGTTTTCTTTCTGATTGTTAATTGTATTGCATCTGGAAGTCATTTCTTACAGAGTGTTGTCACTTATTGGGATCAGGTCAAAATATGTTCTCGAGTACAGCAAGGAAATAAATTCTCTTCTAGGAAGCAGGGGATCTAGTCCTACATCATTAATTGAAGATCCAAAGACAGTATTAGAGGTATTTCTGTTTCTTGCTTTGTTATTTTGTTGCAGTTTGGATCCTTATGTTCGCTTTGTGGACCTTATGAGATGTCCATGAATGAATACAACCTTTCTTTTCTCGAAATTGGGAAAACATTACATTAATCAGCCTACTTTTTTGTTTTTGTGTTGTTCTTTTAACATCTTCACAATAGAATGTCGAGGAGCCAAGCAGTTTGAAAGCTGCATGGGAGCTGCTGGAAATATTTTATGCTGACAAGCAATCTCAGGCTTGGATCCCCGAACAGCTTGTTGATTGGTTAGCTGTAAGGATACTTGGCTTAATTTTTATTAATGACTGTATTTTTTACATTTAGGTGAAATTAAACCATTGATGATAATGCTTCTCTCAGGATTATGATAGCCTGTTCTCTGAACAAGTGCCAAGTGTCCATTTGAGACTGGTCGAGTTTCAAGCAGAACTTATTAATATACAGGTTTGATCTTGTATTCATGAATCCAAGCTTTCCTTCCTTTGGTTATAAATGTCAAGGCAGAACAGTGCTTATCAACTTGCTTATCCTATTCGTTTATGTGTTTTTCATGAGTAGCAACATTCCTTTCTTAAATAGTTGGTTATTAACCTTTCTTTCGTCCGTTTTGGTATTTCTGTTTGGACCTCGAATAAGTTGTATGCTGTCAACATTTTCTCTTTTGAGCTTTGGGAATTGGGAACTGCATGAATTGACTGTAGGTCAGCTGTAATGATAGTCAAGGTTCTCCCTTTATTCTTCAGTAAAACTTGTAACTGGAGAAGGGGAGGGGAGCACCTGTCAGTCTATGGTATGACTATCAAGAACCTATCTTGTACTTCCTCCACACATCATTCACTCACTTAACATTTTTGGATGTCAAACCCAGTTCTCCAATTTGAAATTGATAATATATACAATTTTGCATTTTAACACCACTTATATTTTTAACTTGTGCATTTGTATATGGTTTAATGTGGTTAAATTAATATGTAAAATTAATTGGCCACTTACCAAATTTGAAGTTAAAGGATTCTCACAAGTCGTATCAAGGCATTTATAATGGAATGGAGGAGTGTGTTTATTTCTGGGACTGCAATTTTTACTCTATATAGTGCATAAAGTTTTATTTTAGATTCTTCTCTTCAGGCAGTTGAAGATGAGCCTGCATATTGGCAAGCAATTTCTTCAGCACTTGCAGTTGGCTGGCTAGACATTGTGGTGAGCATACATACTTGAAGCACAAAGTGTTAATTAACATGTTATTGTTATTGTAGTTGTAGTGATGTTTTCTTTAAGCACTGTACTTATTGTGCCTCAGACATGCATCACTTTCATAATGGCATTTGCAGGTGAAATTGTTGCGCTTGCATGGATCTTATCAGCTTAATCAGCTAGGGAATCGTGAGGTCCGTATTCAAGTACTATTGCGAGAGTTGTTTTGTATCTCAATGTAGACGGTCTTACTATCCTTATTATTACAATCCTTGGAGGAGCTAACACTGCTCGTGAATCGCCTATTGTTATTCTTTTAAAAGCTTTTCTGGGATCACATGGAAATATAGCAATTCCAAGTGTTTATCGAAAGTTACTTTTCCAAATCTAAAAATTGCCTTTCTGTTTGTTACAATTTTAAGTATTAACGTTTTTAAAACAATTATGCTCTGTGTGGGTATTGCCTTAGCTTGGACACAAAGGACTAGGATATCAGACTATGAGGACTGCTAGCTAGTGTGTTTTTGTCTTACATGTGCTGTGTGGGTATTGCCTTATCTTGTATATGTGTCTAATGCACCTATTAGTAACTTCTTTTTCTTATTTTTCTCGTGCTTTATTGACCATATGCTTATATTGTTTCTCCTGCTACCTGTTTGCTCACACTCTTGGACAAGCCGAGGTCTTCAGAGAAACAGCTGCTCTACTCTTGAGGTAGAGGTTATGTCTGCATACGTCTCACTACTCCTAGACCCTACTTGGCTCCATTTGACTTGGTTTTGTTGTTAAAACAACTCTGGTCGCTGCTGCTATTGTGCCTTTTAAATTAATTTATGCACTTTGATGTGACTATTCTTCTTCATCATTTAGTTGGCTTTTCTTTAGAACGTTGTTAATATCGACAGGAATACTTTATGAAACAGTCCCATATATTGATGGGAAATTATACCCTTAATTGGAATGGAACTACCTCTCACTGACTTAGATAGTTCTAATAGCAGCAAAACGATCCCATTAGCTAAAAGTTCACAATACAAACCCAAGCTTTGTGAAGTCTGTAATCCGTTTTCGCCATTACTCTTTTTCCTTAAACCTTTCATATCATTCTTTCATTTCTCTTCAAATTCCTAAAGGAAGCTTTATTCTTCTGCTATTGTTTTTATTTTTATTAATTATTTACCTGGTGAGACCAAAGAATACCATTAGGTGGAAGTGTACATGCATTTGAAGTTAGCACACCGTCACCATCTCAGTTTCTCACTCTGAGGATTCCTACTTCATCAGTCTTGATCTGCATACACCATCCTTGCTTATCATACATTTTAAGTCACACATATAGAAATGTTTGAATGATAGAATGCTCATTTGCCAGACCTGAATTGAGAAACTTGGATGGCTTTTGATTTTTCTACGTGTAGGTGTTAAAAAAGCCTAACCCTTAGGCTTCCATTATTGTTATACTACATCTACTGCAATAATATGCCTCTTTTAAACATAGTTGGTTTTGGAAGTTCATTCTGTTTGGGTAAAGGGAGATTTTTGTTTTCCTTATGTTTATGCACAATTACCTAATGAAGTCCTAGACCCACTTGCTTTTCATGTGCTTTGTTTTGCCTTTTGGCTTTCACGGCGCAACTTTCAAAGCTTCACTCTTTCACTCCATGTTTTTTCTTCTTCTTTCATGTATGTTCTGTATTCTCATTTCGTTTCAAGTTATGTTTGATTCACCTTAAAGGCTTCTTCAATTTATTAGTCAGTTCATTGACAGTGTAGGAGAGAGAGAAAGAATTCACATAGGGGTTCAAAGATGTGCATATGACGTATGATTGGGGGGGGGGGACTGGTTAAGACGGATTAGTCACCTCCAAAATCTGTTTATGCATGCCAGCATGAAACAAATGATGGTGCCTGTTTGCTTAGCAAAAGTTTTTGTAGGATTGACTGCATGTTAAGTATATTCAGAGGTGATGTTTTTAAGAAGGAAGCCTTTTTGTATTTAAAAGAGATTGATAAGGATGTTAGTTGTATGATAAAATTGAAGTATCGGGCTAGCACAAGCAGTTTTGTGGCAGTTAAGTGAAAAGGTTAATTCTACAGGAGAAAAGTAAGCCAGTTATGATTTACGCGTCAGAATATTGCTCTATCATATGGTAGCATGTGTGTCAATTCATAGTAGTTGAATGCATATATGAAGCTAGATGTGTGGCTATGCATAATTGAGTAGTATTCGTTGTGGTTTTCTGAAGGAGGTGGGAATGACATCATTATAGTTGGAACCAGGGCAAGTTGCTGAAGATGGTTTTGAGAACCTACAATTATACGCTGTTGGATGCATAGCAATGGGTATCTTCTACCAAGAGGAAGGTTTTAGAGAGTGGTAGGGGTATGCTGAAATTAAATTGCTAGCAGTAAATGAGACTTCACTGAGTGTACTCTCTATTATGCCACAAGTACTTTGTTGTCACTCAAAGAGCATGGAGGAATTAAATCCACACAGCGTACATGATAGTTTCCTTACTCTGACTTTCTGTGTGCATGTCTATGTGTGGCTCATTTCTGTTGGCAGTACCTATGAGAATTTTATCCTCCCAAGACTACATGATAGTTTCCTATGGTCGCATTTCTGAAAAATGCTCGAGTAATTTTGCTGATTGCAAATTTCTTTTCTCTCAGCTGCTCCCTGTTTTTGTCTCTTTTTACTTTTTTAGCTCGGCATGGAGAAAATAGGATCTCTCTAATGTTTTAACTCATGATGTTGGGCTGCCATCTGAAGACTGGTAACTAGGAGGGGCATTGGTTTTACTGGTCATATGAGATAATTAACGCAGGGGCCTTCTGCTCGTATGAGAACTAACAGAGCGATACAGTAAGAAAAAGTAAGTCCCTAATGAGAGGAGGGACACAATCTTCAACCTAACCGTGTATCATGTTAACAAGGGTATTTTTGTCATTCTTAGTCTAGATTGCATCCTTTTTACCTTATGTTAGTGTTTTGTTCTTGTATCAAGGCACTTGTATTGTTCAAACCATTAACAGTTTTATTTGCTTATTTACTGTTTTTGTGTGCTTATTTTATGCCTAGTTCGAAAGAATATTGTTTGTAATGCCAACTGTTGAGCCACTATCTTGGTACAAACTTTTGTTATGAACCTTGCAGTATAAATATATGTGATCTTATCTGAAGTATATTCTTGCTGCCAAGTTAGTCAAACAACATGGCTTAGGTTCATCTTTTTCAGATCAGATTAGGATTTTGGTGTCAGAACTTGGGATTTTGGATTCTATTTTGCTTAAAATTTTAATCTAATTTCCAATTGTATGTTTATGTCATTGAATTGTGCAGAGCGTGTATTGATAGTAAGAGAATTAAGTTCATTTTTTACGCTGAATTATCCACGATTATATGGCCCATTTTTCCTTTTCCTGTTTGGTTTAGTAGAGATATGAGTCTAAGCGATCTATCATCTGAAAAAAATGCATACACATGTTCTCGAAACTTAAAAAGTTCTTACACTGGAATATTGCTTGTTGAGCAGACAGAGAATGGACTTGTAGAAGCAGTTGCCGTTCTAATATCAAAAATGCCACGCATGCGTGCGCATCTACCAGATGGAAAGTTAGGCGAATGCTATTATAACAAGTCCGATTTTATCAAGGTATGGTCTGTTATAGAGGACCAATTTTTTTGGAATAGAAAAAAGAAAGATGTTGGATGCGAGAGTTTCAGCATTGATTCTAAGAAGCCAAATTTACTTTAAATTATAAATGATCTTTATTGAATATGGATGTCCTATACCTACTAGGCATGGGAGAAATGGCGAGCGCAAATAACCAAATTGGATTGCAGTGCATTCTGGCTTCAATGCAGTCATAATCATACTAGAGAGAACCTGAAACTTTTGCTTCAAATCATGTTGGGAAACACTGGTACTCTGTCTAGTGCCACTTTTCATTGGGTAGAGCTATATATTGCTCACTTTCTATATATCAGTCCCTTTACTTCGGTTAGTAATATTTTTTCACCCACAAGTTCATTTAACATAAAGATGGCATTATTTGTCTAACTTCGTTGCATGTATTAATGCTTTATGCAATCAATATGTCCTTTTGTACAGGGTTTAGAAAGCATGCATGCCCTAGCTCAGAAATGCATGCAACTAAAACCTACATCTAGTCCCCATAAGCTGATGAGACTTATAATTGGGATTCTTGGAGAAAATACAGAGGTAGCGAGTGATTGAAATACATTTTACTGCACTGCATTATTAAGGACGAGGCATCCCATAATTATTCCTTCCTTTTTCAGGTTGTATTGGCCGAGTGCTCAAGATCATTTGGTTCCTGGTGAGTTGCTACACTATATGCAGTGTTTACTTTAAGCATGCTTGAGTGATCTCATCTTGAATGTTGAACTTGAAGCAATACACTAATACAGACCAGTTAGTGGTGAACAGGGGAATTAAAGATGACCTATTACTATGTGAGCCACATGCCAACCTCACCCACCCTCACCTGTGGAACCCAACAAAATGATTTAGTAACTCCCTCTTCATGCTTTGATCAGTTTTTTATTTTTATAATTAAGATTACTAGTAAACCCTCACCAAAAATAGCAAATGATAAACTCTTTGATGTCATTATCATTTTTCTAACATAGATTTTGTGAAGAGGATTATAGTGTCTACTTTTGTCATGTATTCTTGTTAACTTTATGATAATTTGTAGTTATTTTGTTAGGCACATCTATTATTAAGCTTTGATTAGTTTAGAATTTACTTGATGTATTGTTTCTCGTGGTAGGATGATTGCCCATGCTACAGAGTTGTTGACGGCTGGGAGTATTCAAGCAGAAATTCTTTTGAAGGAAGAACGTCATAATCTAGGGGGAGTTAGCATAGAAGAATCCCATCGACTTGTTTATGCTCAAGTGCTATCTTCTCATGCGCTCACCTGGCAAGTGAGTGCTTGTTGATCTAAGACTAGTCTTTTCAGTAATCTTCTTAGTTATTTAACCACTGCTGTTCTCATGCTGGTTTCCTTCTATATAAAAGGCTCACCACTTGTCTTGACTAGTTTCAGTAATATTTTTCCCTTTTGAAGGCACAATTTTGCTCTAGTTAACGTTGCTTCTTTTGCAGATCGCTCCAATATATTTAATATCTTGTGTGAAGCATGGAGTTGGCTTGTTGGAAATCTTGTTGTACAAGCAACCCGTGTATCATAGTCAAGTTCTGCTCAAGGTGACTTATTTATCCTTTAGAATGCCTGCTCTTTGGTGTTGTAAAACGCATTTCTGCAACTGTAGAACCAGTTTTGGTATGTATTTTTCTGACTTAGTGACCCATTGCTGTTTTACTCCACACAGAACATTGAGATATGCCGCCTGTATGATCTTGATAGCGTGAGTGCAAATGCCATGAAGGTATTTTGTTTGTGAGTCATCTTTTTCTTATATTATAAGCAGTTCAAGATTTCTAATCTGTCATGAAAATCTCTATATATTTTTGAATAATGGCAAATCACAATACTGTGACATCCTACTGGATAGATTGCTGGAGTGCATCACTGGAAGCATGGTAGGAATGGTGCCGGAGTCTTTTGGCTACAGCAGGCTGGGGATGAAGTTCGCCTCAATCGAATTGCTCAGAAGTTGTTCGATTTTGTTGGGAAATCCATCTCCGATGAGAGTTTTGAGGTAAGCAGTGTGTGAAATTGTAATGGATTTGTCAAATGTAGAAGCCAATTGATGGATATCATTTCTCTATCTGGTACTTACATCTGCAGCAATGGGAAGGATTAATCGAATTGTTGGGCTCTGAATCTAGAACTGCAGCGGGTCTTGAGTTTTTGCACAAGTATGTTATGATTTATTTTTGTTATTTCATTAAATGCTCATTGTGTTTCTTCTTCTGTTCCGACTTAAGACATTGGCGTGCATAGATATAGGGACTTCAAGAAATCTCTGCAGCAGGTCCAAGATGGCATTCTTACTGATGCTGCTAGAAAAGCTGGTGAAGCCCTTATATTGGTGAGCTTAATTGACACATCAATCTACGTAAAATAGCACATGGTGGTCATTAGTGCATTTCGGTCTTTAGCAATTTCACAAGTACATAGTCAACTAGTGTTTCACGTGATGTTATTGCTTTGACCATAGTGTTTTTTTCTTGTGATACTCAGCTTATGAAAAATCCTTCTACTCCCCAACGTTTTTGGCTGCCTCTTCTGTATGATTCGGTGAGCGAATTATCGTCATTCTCATTCGCTTATTTTAATCTTTGATGCGTCTGTCTTCCTACTTTTATTGAATCTCAGTGTTACCTGTTTTTGGATGTTTGATACCATTCTTGTTTTGATTTATATGATCAGAATTCTAATCCAAAAGGTAGAAGGATTGAGGAAGTTTTAAACCATTTTTGTGATTTACAGTTGAAGTTGCTCAACTGGCAAGGGCGTCCGTTGCTAAATGTATCTCAGACTAACCTGCTGTTAAATAAATTACAAGAATTGTCAGTGGCAAGGCTGCGTCCTGATTTTGTTGAGGTGGGGATGCCAGCAGGGGCCCTGAGTTCGGTTAGGGTGGCTCTTGCCACTAATTTAGGACGCGCCATCCTTGAGGAATGATGTGTGGTGACTACACAGAACTTATACTGGTACGTTTACTGTCATTGCTTTTATCGTTAAAACCTGGATCTGCTTTTCTCGATAGGGAAACGATCATTATTTGGTTATTTCTGAAATTTGCATAATCAGACTCGCTATATCTTTTGTGACATTTGTGGAAAGAGGCCTATTAATTTTGTTCTGTAAATGAAATTTAATAAAAGATTAGGTGGCCACTTTTGATTAATTCATGAAGTTAGATTGCTCATCTTTTATTCATATCTTCAGATAAAGTGAAATATAGATGGCAAAATGGAGGCAGATATGGTGTTGGATGGTGGTGTAAGTTTGGTTGCTGCTTCAAATACAAGTTCCTAGGACCATCTGCTGTGGCTTTTGTAACATGTATATATGTATGGAGTTGTGTTTGATATGAAGAGTCTGTTTGAAGCTCAATATCTTTGTAGCAATTTTACACCATTTATTTGGGTTAAGAACATGCATTCTAGAATGTAGCTGAGGTTGGCAAATTAGACTGGTTAAAGGGACAGGATCGGACCTGGACTGATTATAAAAGGACCAGTCCAAATTTGTATGATTTTCTACAGAAATTATTTTTTGGGGGGGGGGGGGGGGGTTAAAAAACCAAATTACCCCCTCACATATCATGTGAGGTGCACATGATGTAGTTAACAAATCTCTAGACTCTAGTTGACGGTGTTGACTTGAGGACCTTTTAGTTATGTGACTTGATTGAAGTTTTAATGGTTTTGGATGTGTTTACAAATCTTTCCCATCTCACCCACTAGCTGGGCTGCCTATGAAATTGAACTTGCTATATGAATGTATGCTGAAAGTACCTTGGGCTGTGATGCCCTGGGCCTTTGCCCATCTCGCCCACTAGCTGGGCCAACCTTGATGGTATAGCCGGCATAGAAGAAAACCATCACCAAAGATTTAATGACAATCACCAAAGAGGAAAATAGAATAATTCGGTCTTTTGTTTGTTTATCTTTTAATAGTTTCATTAAGAGGTAACATCTGAATTCTTAAGAAGTGTGAGGCCGTTTACCAAATGCTTACTCGGGTAAGTGCTTACCGAATCACATTCTCTTATCGGGTGAATGTGGCAAATACCAATAATCTTACGTGGTAAGAGCGAAGACACGAACTGAGAGTCTTACCCGGTAAGTGATGACTCTTACCATGGTTAGCACTTACCGGGTAAATCGTTACAAACGATGTCGTTTTTGTAGACTAAGATCTTACCCCATAAGTAAACGATAGAGTTGAATTTTATCGTTAAGCGCTTATCGGGTAAGTGTTTAGGTAAACAGCCACTGAATCTTGTTTGACGAAAAAAAAAGTTCACCTCTTAATAGTTTTTGAACCCTCTGAATGATTTTGTATCTTGGTCTTCCTTAATCATTAAATGTCCTAATTTCATTGTTAACAAAACAATTATCAAACAATTATATTTCATTTTGCACTATATTATGAAAGTCTTTTAATTATTCTGATTACTTAATCATTTTGTATTAAATCACTAAGCAATTGTCAAACAACCTCTTAGTTTTTTTTACAAGTTTTAAATAATTTCATGTACTTAATATTTATGATTTTTAAACAACTTTAATAAGATCAAGATTTTTTACATTTATAATCAAATAAATAAAACAATATTTGATTGGGCAAATTGCATGAAAAAGTAACGTACTTTAACTTGATTCCTATTTTGGGTAACGTACTTTCAAAACTTTCATTTTGGTACCTATTGATAGAGCAAATTGCATGAAAAAGTAACGTACTTTAACTTGATTCCTATTTTGGGTAACGTACTTTCAAAACTTCTATTTTGGTACCTAAGATATAAAGTTTTAAACATTTAAGCACTCGGGTAACCCGAAAAGACTAATTTTAGACTAAAAAAAAGACTAATTTTAGATTATAAAAAATCCACGTCACTGACCAAGTCAGCAAATAATACCGAGTTGGATACCACATCACTCGCTACATCAGCATGATAATCGGTTAATACTTCAACCAGTTACCCGGGTACTTAAATGTTTAAAACTTTACATCTTAGGTACCAAAATAGAAGTTTTGAAAGTACGTTACCCAAAATAGGAATCAAGTTAAAGTACATTACTTTTTCATGCAATTTGTCCTATTTGATTGGAGTAAACTTGTTAAATTTATTAACACCATTTTAATGTTAACATTTATTTAATGAATAAATATTTAACATTCTTAAATAAATAGACGATATTAATGTTATTAGAAGACATTTAAGGGGTGTTTGGAATTGCTTATGAAAACTGTTTATTGATTTATTATAGTGTGGTACCGATAATAAACAGTTTTTAGTGTTTGGATGGGGAAAAAGAGAGATGCATAATCGGTGTCAAACCGTTAATAAGAAGTTTTTGATAAGTTACACCCCTTTTAACTTATCAGATTCAACTTGTTAGGTTTGCAAACCAATTTACCTTTTTAACCCTTATACACCTCCTTCCTTTAACCAAAAAGTCTCTCAAGCAACCAATTCATCAACAAAAAAATCCCCATCAAGGAACCTTTGACCATTCTCAGAAATCGAACCAGTTCTAGAAATCGAACTAGATTTCTTGCTGTGATTTCTTCTCCATCAACAGATCGAGACCTTCACCTACAGAAATCAAAATCAAACCTTCAATTGAAACCTTCACCTACAGAAACCGATCGAAACCTTCACCTACATAAATCAAAATCAAGCCTCCGCTCGAAACCTTCAACTAGTTCCTACAGAAATCGAAAAGGGTTCAGGGTTCTTCCTTCAGGATTACTTTATGAAAAGGGTTTAGAATTAGCTACCTGATATACGATATACAACCCTGCTTTATCTTTATCTTCAAGAAAACACGAAAGATCAGATCTTTTTTCCTCAAATAATGAATCTCTGTAAGAAATGAACCCTAAATACATAAAACAACACCCACAATTTGTAGAAACTGAGAAAAAGAATCTTCAATCAAGAAATTGATGGAATAAACCTTAGACATGAGATGGAAATGGAAATTTAAAATCGGGTTAACGACAAAAAAAGGAGTAGAAATTGGTGGAAAAGGAAATCTCTTCGGCGAAGAGAGGTGATAAGAGAGTGGGTGTGATAAAAGAGAAGTATTAGAGATAGGTTTAGGATTCTTCCTCACGTCGGTTTTTTTTTTTCTTTTTTATCATTTTACATTATAATCAAAATTTGTTAAACACTACAAAACAACTTATCAGCTTATTACGTTTTGGTACCGGTATAAGCTAATCTAAAGACTTTTTATAAAACTCTGATTTGACACCACATAAGCTGATAAACACATTTACAAAAAAACTTAAGTTGTTTTAAACAAGAAATCCCAAACACCCCCTTATTAGTTTAACATGGCCAAACTTTTAAAAGACCGGTCACAATTAATTATAAGTTTTTCTTTAGGGGATTAGTTAATTAGATCCGTATTCATTATGACATACTAGAAGAGTACTCGCGCAATGCAGCGAGATACATCGTGTTTTTAATATTTCATTTTATTCTTTATCTCAGTCGATGTTATAATATGACTTTATGTGATTTTGAGAAAGCGATGATGTTTTTATTTTTGAATAAAATAT